AACACTTTTTCGTCTGCTCTACAACAAATACAACGTACACAAACTTCACTTTTCCTAATATTATTTTATAATACTTGAGAAAAAGCATTAAATCTGTGAAACTTCAATTTGTTATATCTCCTAAATTAATGCCGTCCCCCACAAATTTCTTGCGGGGAATTACTCAGGAGAATCTCCCCGACATATTTAAGTGGCAATAAAATCGAAGGTTAATAAATTGTTGAACATAAACAAGTAGTAATTATGTAAGGAGATTATCGGTGCTCTTATATAAGATTTTAAAAAGTAAAGAAAGAGAATTTTTCAGAATAATAATTCTTGTATTGTCAAAAAATTTGGAAACGTTTGGCTTGTAGAGTGATTTGTATAAATTTAAACAGACTTGCGGACGAAGAATATTAACTCTTCGTCAAGTAACAATAAAATCCGCTAATTTTGCATAATTACGTAACGAATTAAAATTTCAAAAGCAACAAAGATATCCTTTGTTATTTATAAAAATTGTATATAAAAGAAATCTTATTCATATAAGATCTCTCCTTTATAAATCTATAGTAATTATAAAAAGATGGTTCTCGCAGTATCGAGTGAAAGTTATTGAGTATGTAATTTTAAAAGTGGATTGCTATATTTCTATAAAAATTGTGATTTTAATTTCCATAGATGGAGAGAGAAAATTTGATTAGTATTATAAATCCACAGATGTGGATTTATAATCCTAAAAACTCTCTTTTGTAATAACAATCATCTTGTATTACGCGAATATTATAAAAGCATCTTTACGAATCGAATTTGAAGGATATTTATTAATTGTCTTCTTGATATAAATATAACACAATCCGATTTTCTTATTTATGGGATCGTAAAGAACTTACTTATTCAATATTTGATAAGTCGGTCAAACGGTAGATAATCAGAAACAGTTTCTTTATACACAAGTTTGATTCTATCTTCTAAAGAATAGAATCAAATTCTTTTTATATTGGCTGTAAATTTCTTTAATACGTAAAAGAAAATAATTCTTTAATCGTTTAATATATCTTTGTAATTTCACAGACCAATGTATTTTATTTTTTATTTTGTCACAATTTTTAAGAAAACTTCTGCAATAATTTTAATATAATTATGGATTATTTTCGAGCTTTTACTGAAACGGAAAATATCACGCATTTTAATGTACTTACAGATCGGAAAAATAATTACATTGTACATTAATAAAATATGTAATGAATTGAATGCAAAATGCATGTAAAACACATTTTATTTGACTCATTAATTAGTCAATTAATCAGTTATATATTGAAATATTTATCCTAATATGACGTAAACAAAGTATTCCGTTTATGAGATATGACTGTCACGTAAAAAAAAATTTATTCCGCTCTTTTCCGTTTTGCTTTTTGATAAGAGTCGAAGTTACAACCGCGCAATTAAGAAACGTGTCGCGTATGTAAAAAGAAAGTAAATTCTTAAAAGTAGGGAAGATTTCAACGCTGGCAGTGTTCCAGTTTTTAGAAATTAATAACGACCCGGAAACACTCGGAAAAGTAGATACAGTAAGCGGAAGTAGACAACAACGGATAATAATGGCCAAGTTGGTTACTTCGTGGCTTCGAGTCGGCAAGAAACGCGCATAATCGTCCTTCCCTATATCCAGACTGTAGAAAAAGGGTCAACACCCACTGATCATAATGAAAGTTCCGTCGCCAGGAAGTTCCGGAAGAAGGAGGTACCATATATACAATTGTGTGTGCTCGCAGTTTGATTCTTATATAGAAAAGATGCACTATCATGTTACCGTTATATAGAAATGAAAAACTGGGATTGACATAACTCAATTTTTATAATTTTCCGAAATCATACACTTAATCGCTCCTCTTGTGTCAATCGACTTCTTTCTGATGAAAATTCCACACGAAAGAATAATGAAATTTACTTCATTTATTAGCGAGCTTTTATTCTCGCTTATTCATCAAGATATTAAATTTCGGGGAGAGCGATAAATTAATATGGAATCCACGTAAAAAAAAAAGAAAATGATTTTTACATCCCCACATTTTATTATTATGGAAGTGGTTCTCTGCGAGCCTTTTTCGGTTCCACGTGTTCGCCAGTCTGTCGATTTCCTTCGATTCGATATCGATCGCGCGAAAAATGTAAAAATTTTCATAGAAACCGCTCCGTTTCTCGGATTGTAAATGAGACGAGAGGCAATTAACCCCCCGAGTGCGATAATCGGCGACACCGTCGACACCGCGGGAATTACATCGCATCGACAAAAATACGATAGGCAGCTCGCCGCGCGAAGAAAGGAAGCCCATTAGCGTCGTCCGTGCGGGAGCGAAGTGGTCGTTCATTCATGAACTCGCGGGCGTATAAGCGTCCCTGTAGCCGTAATACAACGACACATCTCCGGTACGTAGTATTAGCGCTCTATCGTTACTACTACTACTACTACTACTACTACTATTACTACTACTACTACTACGTTCGCGCTCTACTACGCTACTACCACTTTTACTTTGGCAGCATCGCCAACGGCACACCATTACAGCCATCGCCATCATCACTACTACCACCATCACCACCACCACCACTACCACCATCACCATCACTACTGCCGCCCTCTGCCCAACATCGGTTACGTGTTCTACCACAAACCGACACCGGCACCGGTGCCGCATTCCTGGCGTTCTTACGCGAGGTGCCTCAGATATTCCCGGTTGCAACGGCCTTTTAGCCGATGTACTTCTATCGTCGAACGCGCCTTGACATTGAGAACACCGACGCTATGTATCGCGACTATTCCATCGTTTCCTGGCTAGTCGGAATCTAATCGAACGGATGTCGAGAATGCCTAATCTTCTAGCGTTTCCAAGAACGTTCAAGATTGGACGTATCATCGATTTTGATTTGTCTCAAATGCAAAAAAATTAAGATATGAGTGTCCTAAATTTTTTTTTTATGTTTTACCGCATACTTTTTCCAATATTCGATATAGAAACGAACTTTTTGATATGAAAAGATTCTACAAATGATACAAGTAAAATGACATGAGCAAATGCTTATTTATGAATTCTTTTTTTATTATAGTTAGATATAGATTTTAGCTGTCTAAATCATAGATTCCAAACAAGATTTAAAAATGTATTTGATCCGAATATGTTATCGTCTTTCGATACTTCTGGATTTTTTTCGACTAATTGACTGACTGACAGAAGCCTGTCAGGTACATCTCTACTCTAATAATAAAACTGTTATCTCGTTTTCAGCCATTGTACAAAACCATTACAAAAATAACTGAGCGTTCTTCATTTTAAACAATTTAGTATAAAGTTTGTTTAATAATCATTTTTGTTGAACCAAGCACGAATAAATAAGTCACGCCGGTCATTTATCTCAATTATTGCAATCGCGACAGCAAACACGTTAATAGCTCGAGGTTATTTCCCACGTTCGGTCGAAACTAGCGTTAATTAGGAGCTTCTCTTCCAGGACAAGACGGGAGATCAGCTTTAATTTCGATAATGGATCAGAAATGTGTAAAAGCAATAACAGTAATGTAATTATTTTAGCTCTCTAAAAATACGGTTATGCATTTAACTAGAAACTTAAATATATATTAATTGGTTAAAAAAATAATTAAGAATATATCATATTGCACGCTATATGCAATTATTTTCGATTCGTATTTAATCTTTAATTAGTGATCGTTATGATTCGGTTAAAATTTATTTCTACATATATATACACACACATATACACAAATAGCAGCAATATTAAAAAAAAAGAAAATGGTAATCATTTTTCCATAAAGATACCTTTCTTAAAAGTCTCCCTCAGTTCTTTTTTTACCGTGACAGGTTGTTAGACGGTACAAGCGGACATTTATTTTACAAGTTTGTCAGAGTCGATGCGTCCCGAGAAACGTGATTAAACTTTCGTGGCTCTTACGGAAATCGATCAAAAACATCGCCCCCCCTCCCCCCCGTCGCTCGCTCGGCGTCGTTTCCGGTTATCCCGACAACTTTAAGGTCAACGCGCATACTACGGTCCTTGACACTGAAACAACACGAAACTTCGGCAACTTGCCGACAAGTTGGCGAGATTTCCATACGTTGTTCCGGTACGAGGGGAAATGCGTCCAATTAAGACGACGAACGAAACTTTGACTGTTTTAGCTCAAACAAAGCAAAATGTTTTGGTTCGCGTTTCCTTCTTTAGGCGTTATTTATAGTCAAACGGCGAAGAAACAAGAACGGAGTGTAACAACATTTATAGAAAGTGTCAATCGAGACATGTCAAATGAGACATTTGACATGTATCTAAAAAGTAAATTGTGTTAGTAAATGAATTTTCTCTATTCTTCTTTATTTTCATGTAATTACATTGTGCAAAATGTATACACATTTAATCAAATAGAGATGCTATCGCATCAAAGTTCGTAATTAAAATGTATTTTGAAATTAAAACATTTATTTAAATAATAAAGCTCATTGTTTGTATATCGACAATTACGTTATTTTAAGATCATTCTTACATTACTCTCTTTTGATTAGCGACACTTTTCGATTAATATCATTTGAAACTTACTCGGTGCCTTTAAAAAGCTAACGCGCGGAAAAAATATATTTTCACTTAAAACTTAAATCAACCAATCATTCTTTAACCGATTATCCACATTGCTAGATTTATCTTATAATTTTTATGATTAATTATATTAAAAATTTAATTTATTTCAATAAAAGCAGCTATTAAAAGAAAATCAATTTCTACGATACCCGTAATTCTCGGCCCGGTAATTCCGGATAAAAACTCGCGATCGATGATATATTCGAGCTAAGGTAACGATCCGTATAAAATTGCCGATTTCTCCGCGAAAACACGCGCGATTGACCGTTCCTAATTAAAGATAACGTTGATAGCGGACGGTGGTGATCGTTGGTGACGGTGCGCGATGGCGACGCGAGGAAACAGAAGTTACAAAGAGATATTCTCACCCCCGAAGAGCAAACAACTCTCTCGCCGCTTCCGCCGGAGCCTCGGACCGTAAACACACGTCGGTGGCTGGTCGCGTACTGAAGTTTCCACCGCCGGTGGATTCAGCATTCCCGACCGGAGAGAGACAGAGCAACCCCACCACTACCTATCTACCTACCTACCACCGACGCGAACACCCTTTAACCCTCCTCCGTTCGGCGCCCTCCGGTCCGTCACTCGAAACCGTCACCGTCTCACCCTATACGAACCACCACCGATCTCCTTCATCATAATACCTGAGTGCGAGGAGGGGGAGAGGAGGATGCGCGAAGATAGGATACTTGGTTACTTGGTATCTGCGATAGTGTTAACTCGAAGCTCAATTTATCCGGCTATTTCTTTTTCTCCCGATTCATCTACAAATGTGTGGACAGAAACTTTTGCAGCGTGTGAAGTCGATCAAATAACCGCGACACGCGAGTTTTCCAATTGTCAAAACCAATGATTTTTTGTAAAAATATCAAGAACGGTAATTCTCATCTTTTTTTTTGTGACGGATATGATAAACTTATTAAAACTTTATACGTAGTTTAATCTGGGGGATGCAATAGATAATTATATAATATATAATATAATTATAAAATTAAATAAATATTATATATAATATAATTACATATACATATCTTTTTCTATACAATATATTCATATTTATAAAATATAAAAAGCAGCGGATATATAATTTACGAAATTAACTAACTTTTATTAATTTACATTAATCGTAGAACGTTCATTATAAAAGAAGAAAATTAATAGTTCGTGGATAGAGATGGAAGAATCGGATCAAGAGGTGAAAACAGGAGCTGGCTAGACCGCATTGAATGCTCTCGCCAAGAGCCGTCTAAGGAGCCAGGAGAGAGAAATTTCACTCTAGATCCTAAACTGTGGATCGTACTAAACACTTTTCTCTCTCATGGCCCCTCACTGGCGCTAAAGCCACCTCCGTTCTTACGAGTATTCGTCCTAATAAAAGTAACCGTTTGGCCGGCGAATCTCTGCCGACGAGCCGACAAAAAGTCGACGAAACTCTCCAAAAGTTTTCCACCTTCGTTCAGCAATATATTTCATTGTCGGCTGCCATATAAATTGTGAGAGATCCGCGCGGTGTAAGGTTTAGTTTTGTGATATAGGGAACGTTCCGAGCGCGGCTTTCAGGAGAGATCAAATCCCCGGAAATCAACGGGGTACTTGGACTTTGAAGATCTCGGAAGTCCCCCGTGATTTAGAAAAGTTTCCAGCTCCGTCGAAAGTTCTTGTATCTCCGACTTTTCTCTTGAAACTTTTTCGGAGCCCGTCTTCGCGCGCATTCCAAATGCATATCACGTTCATATGAATATCCGACCGACATATATAATAGTTTTTCGTGATGTATTTAGATAACGCGAGAAACTAAATAAAATCAGACGTTTCGTCGAAAGTTCCTCGTTTTAGGAATATCAGCTCTTCACAATGATGCACATCTTTTCTTTTTTTTTTTCATAACTGACAAATTAAGTGTAAATTTGCGAATGTTTACACAACTCTAGTAATTTTTTTATCAATATCATAAAATATATTCAATTGTTTTTTTTTTGTGAAGCGTGCAGCATAATAGTTTTTGTATCTTTTCGGTTGTACATATTATTGTTAAAATTTTTAGCTCGATATTTTTTTATTTAAATTAATAAAAACGAACAAAATATAAACGAAAATTTTATTATTGCACACAGACATTTTTTTTTACATTTATATATTATTACAAAAGGCATTCAAATGGAGTATTAATTTTTTACATTTTTATCAATTATTTTATCATTTTCGTTTATTTGGAAAATATCTCATGTGAGAGATAAAAATTTGCAATATTTAATCAATTAAAATTTCAAAGTAACACTTATCAACTTGATCGAACTATTCATCAAACATTGAAAAGCTACCTCGCTTTTCGATAAATAAACATGCTCTAAAAGCTTCGACATATGTTTCACGCAGTGTTTATATTTGTTCTTTTGCTTTGTAATCCGAGTGGCGTGAGTGTATGTGAAAGTATATAAATCGGGACTGGCAACAACATGGTATTAGTCCGTAAATCACGTCGAGTGGGATAAGTTTGAAGCATAAAGAAAGTAAGTTTTCGCGTAAAGCATGGAAAGCTTTTCGAGATTGGTGATAAAACCGTGACTCGCCGTTTGTTTAAACATTTTATATGCGAAAACATCTCATATACGCGACTACGTTACAATATGTTTCAATATGTTCCAGAGTAAAATAAATAATTGTTTATGATAATGCACACACATAAATTATATTTACATATCAGAGATTTATCGGTAGACATGATTGAAATTTACAGCACATGGAAAACATTTATATGCTTAAATTATATACGAGATATAATACGTAATATGATACACACCATCATAAACAGTCCTATTTTTATTTATGAAGTCTTGTAGATTCATTACTAGTCGCTATCGATGAAGTATGTCGACTTGATCACGTCCATGCTCCGCTGATTCTTCTTTTTTAATTAATGGTTCATTTTTTAAATATATTTAAAGCAGTTTTTCCCAAATATTTTGAAAAGACACATACACACACACATACATACTCCACAAGAAAATCAAGATTATATTAAAATACAATATGAAAGCACAATATTTTTGCATTTTTAATTAACAAGGGGACAGTTTGAATGTACGAATATTTCATGAATTTAATTAAATAAAGTAATACATACATACGTTTAAAGCACACACACACACACACACACGTTTGCAATACTAATTAATACAATTTATCGAATAAATCATTAAATACTATTAAATCAATAGATTCGGGGAGGGAATGGTTAGAAACTAAAGGATCCTTGCCTAAAGCATTAAAAATTGATATTTTTACGCAGATGATATGGTGTAAACAACGTATATGTATTTTATTTCAGATAAATATCTCAACATTGAACATTGACTAATGTATAAGTACATCGTTTACTCGTTTATGTCGCAGTGTGTGTGGTAGTCCGATATATTTTCGTTTAATATGTTATATACTTCTCTATCTATATCACTGATCTCTACGGGTTCCGTTACAAACTAATCGCTTAATGTCGATTATACGCAATAATGATTTTTATCTCTTATATAATATCTTTATCATCCCTGTATGCAGTTATTTTTTACTCGCGAGATAATCTGTCTCTTATCTACTGGTGGGATCGTCGTTGTAATCCGCGTCGACGATCATTATATCGTACGTAACGTTTTTACCTACTAATTAACTAATTTTTTTTATCACAATTACGGTATTATTATTAAAGCCGTCAGAGCGCCGGGCGAATCTTGCCGGAACACTTTGATGATCCGTTTATTTCTGTATGAGAATAATTATCGAAGATAACAACCCCCCTATACGCTCGTCTAGCAGGGTTTTATTCCTCGCGTAATTTACTTTCGATTGTTCTTAGCAAAAAGTTCGCCGCTAGCTTAATCGATGAAACGTTAGCGAAAGAGAAAAAATTAAATGCTTCTTTATAAAATCTTAAACAATGGAAGAGTTTAGATATCTAATTAAAGTAGATGTCTAATTAAATTTAACATTCTATGCGACTCAATTTTAATTAATTAGATTTATTAGACCTTTTATGAATTCAAATTAATAAATCTTTTAATTTAAATCGAGCTAATTAAATTAAATTAAATTAAATTTCTTTGAATATAGTTGCTTAGAGATGCATGAATGTGAAAAATTGAGAAATACTATGACAAATATCTGAATCGCGAATTTTTGTTAAGAACAAGATTTTCTCGATTGCAAATTCCTTGAAGGACAATATCTTATCATCATTTTCATATTATCTACATTTTTTTTAATCTGTATATTGTTTTATGAGAGACATCATTTTCTGTGGTCATACAATATTAATGTCTATAACATTTCTTTCGCTGTCGTTATATTCCACCTTCTAATATTGCTTTAAATATCTTTTTTTTTTTTGCATACAAAGCAAGCAACGAAATCGGCATCAAAGTTTCTGTATTTGCGAATTTGCCGAATCGCTGGCACTCGATCGGCGAGCGCGATATTTAATATCTTGGGTCACTTTCTTGGCGCTTTTTCGTTAAACAATAATATATATTTAATTAATTAACAATATCGCTTATTGCTGCTGTTTCGTGCATTGACTTGAAGGTGGTGCCTTTCTGAGAACGAACCAAGCTGCGTGTCATGGTAATCTACTTGAACTTAATCAAACCCGTAACATATAAATTTATAATTAATAATTTATAATTTATAATTTATAATTTATAATTAGAGAAGCAGATACAGATAAATATTATTTTACAGATACACGAATTAAAAAAAAAAAATAAATAAAATTTTGAGGCATTAGATATAAACTAACAATACATACATACATAGTTTATAGAAGTACCTAAATTAAAAAAATTTATAATAGAAATATATATTTATACTATAGGGAAGTTTTTAGAATATCCTAAGAATTAGAAGATTATTGGTCTTATATTGTATAGATCTTTCCTTCCTTATACACATCTAATTTAATACTTACGGGAGGCAGCTCCACGCTTAATTTACCCATAATTTGATAACATAAATTATACGAAAGCTAAAAAAGAAGATACAGGAACTGAAAATCCTGGGATTGAACGGAAATAAAAGTAGGCGTAGAAACAAAATAATTCATGGATTTATTAAAAATAACACAGAAGTTCGAAATGACACAACAAATCAGAACAATAAACCGCGCTAACGGATTAAGAGGTCTGACGATTATTATAGCGTATCACAATCGCGGGATCATTATACGAAGATCGATTAGGTGTCTCGACCTTTGAGAAATTCCCTCGACGATATTGCCAGCGATTTCAAGGAAAGCTTTGCGTCACGTGGTTCACGGTTTTCGATCGCTGTTGGAATAACACTTTCGAGACATTTATGCGTAAATATATTCTCTCATGCCCATTTCTTACTTATTAATCTATTATTGCGTAAATATGTTTCACTAGCCGCTCAGCGGAATATTTTTGCATCGCAGAGTC